CTGTTTCACACACTTCTCACATTGTTCGGTATGGGTCAACTTAAAAGAAACAACTTCAACTAACAGACACTTAGGAAAAGCCTCCCACATGACCCATTCAGCTCACTCTGGTCCAGAAGACACAGTGGTCACAATGCAAAGTGGGATATGTGCTGAGCCCCAGGTTCTAGAAAGTTGTGGATGCAGAGGAGGGGTGCCTGGAGTGAATACAGGTGCAGCAGGCAGAGGTGGGGTGTAAAGGTGTCATTCTCAGTACAGATTATGGCTGGCTAGCAGTGTGGATCTGGCTTGTAGTGAGAGCCATGAGTTCTGCACAGCAGAAACAGTAAGTACCAGGAAGGAGACGTTAGGAGTCGGAGCATGAAGGGGAAAAGCAGCCCCACTAAGGAGCCTGGATTCTGCCTTACAGGATCTCCAGCAGGTAACATAACCAGATTTGTGGTCTACAAGGCCCATTCCCACAGCATGGGTGTGGCCCAGGGAGGTGAAATGGGGGCCATGGCAGTAACCGCTGACTGGCCCAACATGTGATGTTGCGGGGGTGGTTCAGAGGGAACAAATTATCAAGCAGCATTAAGGAGTGAGAAATGACAAGATCTTTTGGGAGGCTGAGAAGGATCACTTGAGCCCAGCAGTTCAAGACCAGTCTGAGCAACATGGCAAAAGAGAAAAATTAACAAGTCAGCCGGGCGTAGTGGCACACAGTTGTAGTCCCAGCTACTCAGGAGGCTAAAGTGAGAGGACTGCTTGAGCCTGGGAGGTCGAGACTGCAGTGAGCTATGATGGCACCACTGTACTCCAGCCTGGGCAACTGGGCAAGAGTCTGTCTTAAAGAAAAAAAAAAAAAAGAAAAGACATGCCAAGAGAGTGAGGTGAATGGTAACAGTGACACATTAATAATCAGGTTTGTTCAAGAGTGTGGCTTACGTGGCTAAGATGATGATTTTGATAATACATGCAATGTGCTATATCCTTGAGTACATTTTAAATAGTATAAATCATAATCCTAATTTCAGAGTTATATTTTATAAGATTCAAATTCTCTGAAAACTGGCCTGAGACCACTAGCCCTGCTTAAAAAAATGATGCCTTTCTACTATCCACGTGGAACCAAGGCCAGTGGTGTGTTCTGTTCTCCGGTCTCCTTCAGATTGGAATTCCAGCCTCTCACACCCACGCCCCATCCCCATTCCAGGCACACAGAACTGTTGGCTCTTTCCCACACACAGCCTGCACTATTATCTCTGTCTGGAAGCCTCCTCTTCCCTGACAGCAGGTTAAGCTCATACTCCTTTCTCAAGAGTGAGATCGAATGCTATCTCCTTAACAAAGCCTTTCCTAAGCCCCCCAGGCAGACTACATGGTCCCCCTTCTCAGAGCCCCTGTATTTTGAATGCCCCACACCCTACTTCTTGTCACATATTGTAATCACCGGTGTCTGTTTCCTCAACTTATCCATGCGTTTCCCGAGAACGCAGCCTCCACCTCATCCTTTATTCTCTCTGCAGGGGCCTGGAAGACAGCAGGCACAGGGTGTGTGTGGGACTGAAGTGAGTGTGAAGGAGGGCAGTCCCAGGCCACTGGAACATTCAGGTAGGAGCCTGGGGTATGTTTTGAGGAGGGAACTGTCAAGCTGTTCCATTGGACAGCCTCTCTTTCACAAGCTAAGCGTCTCATTCCTGTGCACGTATAAACTCAGCGAAATGACAAACTACCTCATGGCACAAATCCCTGGGTCATCCTCAAGGTCAAAACCATCAATGTTAATTTGTGAAGGCCGAGCAAAGGTCTACTTTTTTTCCAGAAGCTTCACATATCAGTAGACAACATAGATGTTGTGATACAGGCACTTAAAGTCTCCTGTATCAAAAAAACCCAACCCTTTTCACAGACTGACGAGACGCACATCAACTCACTTATGGGTGAAACCCCCTGGTAGTATCTACCCCTCAGGGTGACTTCCTCGCCCACATCCATCCTCCCTTCTCTGGAAACAGGCTCATTCTCTGGGGACAGAGCTGGGAGAGTCCTGAGTCATGGAGGGCAGATCTAGGCCTGAGGTGTCACTAGGAGGTGGAATGGCCAGCACCGGGCTGCACAGTCATGCTAGCTGCAGTAACCTAGGGAGAAGGGCCGCTGCTGAGTCCCCTAAGAGGGCCTGGCCCTGTCACTTCCAAGTCTCAGCTGCTCAGCAACTCCTCTGATCCCGTGACATCCACCCCAGCATCTTTTCAGTAAACTCCTTTCATCTATGGGCTTCTGTGGGCACAAATTGGTTTCTGTAACACACAACAAAGTCCTCTGGCTCTGCTCACTCAGGTAGGCACCTCCCTCAGGTCTCAGCCCCCGGCTCTCACCCAGGAAGGATGTCTCTGTCTCATTGCTTAGGTGTATCAGGTGGCCATCTGACTCTATGACCACCCTGGCCAACTACCCTATGAGCTCCCTGGGAGGGGAAGGGTAAAGCCATTCTGTGTACCATCCACAATGCCTGATTAGAGCACTCTGCCCAAGTCATTTGTGATTCACTGAAGGACACAGACAGCCCAACCAAAGGGACAATGGCTGATGAGAAGACAGGTATAGTGAGTGGGGCCTCACCAGGTTCATGATGGAAGCCTGCTGGAAAGCACTGTTCCAGGCTCTGTTTTTTGAGATGTGCTAACAAACTCTTGGAAAATCAGTTACAATCTTAGACTGTTAATTACATTGTCACCCTAATCGGGGCCTAGCTCTTGAATCTGTTGGCATAGTCTAGAAGGGGTGGAATCTGTTTTATATTCTTGTCTGACGGTCTTTATAAATAATGCAACCTCTATTTTACCCAGAATGTGCTATAATGGGGCTCTTTCTTACTCCAAAATATAGAGGAGCCCACCTATACAGTCAGTTTAGGCATTCCAAATGATTATTTCTTTTTCTCCATTAGCCTTCATTAATGGATAGTCAGAGAAAGAATACCTGGGGAAAAAAATGAATAGCTCAGAAGGGTTTAGAGGACCTGGAAGGGCAATACATTTCTTCCTATTAGCATTTTCATGATCAGCATTTTCATGGGCAGAACAGTTACAAAGGACCAGACTTTTGTAAATGCTGACAACAGAAGCCAAACAGGAGTGATGTGGAATTTATTCCAGTACTTATTATTGGGCGAGAACTCCAGCCTCAGTTATTATAAAAGCCACAGTCACTACAATCACACCTCCTACTGTTGTGACTTCATCGTTACCCAGAAGTTGTGTGATAAAGCTGAAATCTTATAACTAAAAGAGGTTATACAGTTTTGTAGTGAAACTGAGATGGAAAGAGAAAGAATGGATAGATTGGTGAGAAGAGGGGAGAGAAAGGGAGAAAAGAGCTCTTCACCTGAGCATGGTGTGAGAAACAGTGAGCAACGCTGGGGTGGGCTGGGAAGGTGGGTGCTCTCCAGCGTGCCTTAAGACTGGATTAAGCGGTGGCTCACACCTGTAATCCCACTTTGGGAGGCTGAGGCAGGCAGATCACTTGAGGCCAGAAATTGGAGACCTGGCCAACATGGTGAAACCCTGTGTCTATCAAAAATACAAGAATTAGCTGGGCGTGGTGGCAGGCGCCTGTAGCCTCAGCTACTGGGGAGGCTGATGCAGGAAGATTGCTTGAATCCTGTAGGTGGAGGTTGCAGTGAGTTGAGATTGTGCTACTGCATTCCAGCCTGGGCAACAGAGTGAGACTCTGTCTTAAAAAAAAAAACAAAAAAAAAACCCGGATTAGTCCAGACTGAAGTCTGAGGACAAGTACACACCAACTCCTCAGCTAAATCTTCTGGTCCAGTCAGAGTTGTCCACAATGGAGCTTTGTCATGGGTGTTTGTCATAAATTCAACTATAGCCAGTTGCGGGTGGTGGGGGGGAAGGGAAGGGAAGAACAGAGGGAGGGAGGGAGGGAAGGAAGGAAGGAAGGAAGGAAGGAAGGAAGGAAGGAAGGAAGGAAGGAAGGAAGGAAAAGGCATTAGCCATCTCATTGTGTGGGTGAGGCATCAGCCATCTCATTGTGTGGGTGATTCTGAGTGTGTGCCCACAGTGACAGGAAGGGAAGAAGGGAGGAAGGAAGGGAGGGAGAGAGGGAGGAAGGAAGGAAGAAGCATCAGCCATCTCATTGTGTGGGCGATTCTGTGTGTGTGTGCGCACGGTGAGTATGAGGAAGTGACATGGGAGATCTTAGTCCATGTGCCTCTTATGGTAGGAATGTCTCTCTGGGTCAAGTGTGATTCTAGCATTTAGAGACAACAGATGGCTTATACACCCCAGTCCCTATGTGCAAGCCACTCCTTCTGGTGTTTGGACACAGAAACCTCAAGTGGCTCCAGAGCTGGGAGACAAGCTGGCTGTGCTGGACATCTCGAGAGACCACTTCGACATGGTGCTTTTCTAGGGGGCTTACTGGGCCAGAGGCATATGTTCTTTGTGCCACCCCCTGGCCCCGCCTGGCCAAACTCTAGACGATGATGTGAACCAATTTCTGCTTCCCAGTTTGTGCTACTACTAATTCCTTTCCAACAGTGATCCCATTCCCACCTCTCTCTATACAGCCTATATCCTAAGCATCTTTCAAATACTCTGCCAAGCTCTCCTGCTTCCCAACTTCATCATCCAGTCACCCCTACCTAAAACATCTTGTGATTGATTGGGCCATTCCTTTGGTGACTTGTCATCTACCACCTTGAGATAAATCTTCACATTGTAGTTTGCAATATTTATTTTAAATGTTATTAATTTCGCTGGAAGCACACAGTCAATTCCTAATCAAGTACATGCCTTGAGAGCAGGTATCCTGCTGCGCCCAGACTGGTGAGTGTTCAGTAAGCTCAGAGGTACAGACCAGTGGTTAAGAGCACAGGCTCTGGGTCAGAATCCTGACTGTTTCCTGCCAACCTTAGGCAAGCTGTTGTGACTAAAGGAAGAGAACACAAAACCCAATTCATTTCACATGTGACCCACTGTGCGTTTCAAGTGTAAACTTACAAATGCTGAAGGGAGGAAAAGGACCCCAAGCTCGTAGGAGCGGATCATCAGCTGGGTGCCATTCTTCTCCAGTGCTCCCCAGGCGGCCTTGGACAGATTCGCGCTGCAGAGGCAAGGACACAGAAAGGGCTGACTCAGGGAGGCATCTCAGTGTGGGTCAAACTTCCACAGCTGCAAGAGCACCGGTCAAAAAAATATATAGCTGCAATCACATTCATTCATTTTCTAGCAGAGCTGCTGCATTTTTGAAAAGAGAATTTAAATCCTGCTGTTCTCTAATCCTCAAGATTTATCTAATTGCTAATTTGGGATAGCTTCACCCTCATCTGCATTTTCCTGAGGGCAGCTATTAAAATAATTATCTTTCCTTAGATTTTATTTTTTTCTTTCTAAAGCCCCTTTTCTTTTCACGATCCTGGAGTAGCCAGGATTTCTGGTTTTGCTGTATATAAAACCAGCATTTAAGAAAAAAGTTAATATTATCTTATGCAGTAGTATCTTAAGCTTCATATTTCCTTTTTCAGTTTTTTTGCCAGGTAGTGCTTATTTCTACTTTCAATGTGAAGAAAACACCTTTGAGAGCAATAGACTGTTATTTGTATCTAGAAAGAAATGGTACATTCAGAATGATGTTTTATATGTTCAAAGAGTTGTAGCTAAAAAATCACGGTACAAGTCAGGCATAGTGGCTCACTCCTGTCATCCCAGCATTTTGGGAGGCCGAGGTGGGCAGACCACTTAAACCCAGCATCAGCCTGGGAAAGATGGCAAAACCACATTTGTACAAAACATTAGCCAGGCATGGTGACGCGAACCTACAGTCCTAGCTACTTGGAAGGCTGAGGTGGGAGGATCGCTTCAGCCTGGGAGGTGGAGGCTGCAGCGAGTGGAGATCGCACCACCACACTCCAGCCTGGAAGACAGTAAGACCTCGTCTCAAGAAAAAGAAAAAAAATCAAGCAATGTGTCAGAGATTAACATAAACCCACAATAAACATTTTTTTCAGTTAGGTTCACCCAAGTTCTATTTTATTTTTAAAACTTATAAACCTCAGCTATTCAGAAAACTCTTTACAGCCTGACTTTGTGGATGACTGGGACTTTTTCAAGATTCACTCACTGGTGCACCAAGTATGTTTTCTGAGTTATGTGCTGGAACTATTGTCTGCTGGAATTGGAGAGTCAAACAAAAACAATGACCAAGTAAGATTAAAAGAGTAATGTTTGTTAAGGGTTCTATGGGAACAGAGAAAGAAGAATGTGGAAATCAGAGCTAAGGAAAAATCTTGAAGCGCTTAGGCTGACTTAAGAAAACAGAGCATTATTTACAAACTTTCCTGGCTTCCTAAATGAACCATATTGAGGACAGGAAACCTTTGCACAAGGACCACGATCATGAACATCACTGTCTGTGACGTCGTTGAGACATTAAGTGAAGAGGAAGCTGATGTTTATGATAAAGTGGTATTATGATTCTAGGAAAAAAACTTTTTTTAAAAGTCCAAGATGACATCTTGCTTTTAGGTCTTTGACCTGTTAGTAAAAACAGGTCATCTCCTTGGCAAAGAGAAAAGTCTAAAGGCAAAACCAACCAGTGGGTCTAAGGTGTTTCTCTCACTTTCTAGATGATCACTTTCTAGCCAACTCTTGACTATCAGTATCATGACAATACAGAGGTATCTTCTGGAAGGCTGTTCTCATTCTTTCCCGATGAGTTGTGTTTTCTTAGCATTCCAAGATTTGAGGGCTTATTCCAAAGTAAAGTTCAAAAGAGATCACAAGGACAGCCTTTCAGATGGCTTCCTCCAATCCCTCCTTGTATTTGGCTTCTAACAGATTTCTAAGCATCTGGAACCTTAGAAACTCTACCGTGAACACTGAGAGCCTGAAAGTCACTTGCAGGTTGTCTAGGTGATAAATCAACATTCCCTGACATATCTTTAATAACTTTTTACATTCTGGGTAATACTTTGAATCACTGGCACCTAGGGCAGCCAGGAACATGGGGATTTCCAAACTCTTGTGGGGTGGGGGGGCAGGGGGTGAGGGGTGTGTGTGTGTGTGCACACGTGAGCATCATGTGCAGCAAAAGCACCGTGTCATCATGTGCAGCAAAAGCACCGTGTCGTCATGTACAGCAAAAGCACCATGTCTTTCATGAGGCACAGCGACACCACAGGACTCTCTTGCTCCCATAATTCCAAAGGAGTTCTAGCTTCTGTTCTCCACATGGAATCCATCGTCCACTGCCTGTCCTGGCATCTGTTGAGAACTCGTTTTCATCACTTTGTTCCCCCTGCCCTCATTCTTCCATTGTTCTTTTGTCTACTGGACTGGGCAGCTTTCTCTCCCAAGTGCTATGGTTTATGTTGTTGTTGTTGGATACTGAGGGATGCTTCATCACTAAAGAGGGGTGGGGCATTTAATTTACTTTAGATCCTTAGGGTAGAACTCTGGAGGTCCCATGGTCTACCATTCCACCAGAAACACTACCCACCAAACGCTTAATAAAGTCATGATGAATAAGACAGTAGCTTCTGGGGGTGTATCAGTCAGGGTTCAATCACAGAAACATAACTAGGAAATTGTGTGTGTGTGTATATATATATGTGTGTGTGTGTGTGTGTGTGTGTGTGTGTGTGTATTTCTTACAGGAATTTATTATCATGTAATTGTAGGAGCTGGTTAAAGTCTTTATAAGGCTGTTATCTTTGTCCTGATGCTGGAGCTAGAAGTCTACAGAGCAGGCAGAAGCCAGAGGAGGATAAGCATAAAGTGGAGAATAACTAGCTGGAGCCACAGGCATGGACTGAAGACTGTGAGGACTGAAAACCACGTGGTTTTTGTGCCTCTGGCACTGCAGGTGTGGATGTCTTGCAGAAGAGAGGACCTTCATCACAGAAAAAATACACACGTGGTGAGGGCCAGGAGTTAGAAAAGCGGAAGGAGAACGTGAGGGGATGTGAGGTCCAGCTTCTGCTGGACACAGTGACAACACTGAGTTATAAAAATGGCTGCTGTCTCAGCTGGGCGCAGTGGCTCACACCTGTAATCCCGGCACTTTGGGCCGAGGCAGCAGATCATCTGAGGTTGAGAGTTCGAGACTAGCTTGACCAACATGGAGAAACCCTGTCTCCACTAAAAATACAAAATTAGCCAGGTGTGGTGGCGCATACCCGTAATCCCAGCTACTCAGGAGGCTGAGGCAGGAGAATCGCTTGAACCCTGGAGGAGGAGGTTGCTGTGGGGCAAGATCGCACCACTGCACTCTAGCCTGGGCAATAAAGGCGAAACTCCATCTCAAAAAAATAAAAAATAAAAAATAAAAAGGCTGCTGTATCACATTTGCTCTCCAAATATAAGAATCTCCCTTGGGGCCCACCTAATTGGAAACATACAAGAAAGGGAATTCTGGAAATTGTGGTTGAGGGTAGACAAGTTGACCATTACTAAGTGTTAGGGACTGAACGTTTTGTCCTTCAGAATTCATATGTTGAAATCCTAACCCCCAATGTGATGGTGTCAGGAGCAGAGGCTTTGGGTTAGTTATGTCATGAGGATGGGGTCCTCATGAAAAAGACTGGTGCCCTTATAAAGGAGACCCCAGAGAGCTGCCTTGCCCGCTTTCTACCTTGTGAGGACACAGTGAAAGCTCAGCAGGCTGCAGCCCAGAAGAGGGCCCTCACTGGTACCTGGCCATGCTGGCACCCTGACATTGAACTTTCATTCTCTAGAACTATGAAATATATTTATAAGCTGCTCTGTATAGCAGTCTGAGCTGAATGAGGCACCAAGCCACCACAGCTAAGTTGACCAATGATCTGTTGCTCAATTAGGCAGTTTATCATCCCCTTGCCTACAAGGAGTGCAAATGGTGGTAGAATGCCCTGCCACGGGGCTTATGAGGTGTGACTGTTTATTACAGGTTTGACCTCAGTCCCCAATATGAACATTTTGTCCCAAACATTACATTTTTAAGAGTAAACTTGATAAGGTATGACGAAAAAATTCCTACAGGAAATCTCAGGAGAGCACAGGAATGGCATGTGAGGCACATGGAGAAGGCAGGCAGGCACATGCTGAGAAGAGAGCCCTGGACCCTGAATCAGGAGCAGTTTGTGTCTCGGCTTCCCCACTCACTGTGACTCCTTAAGCCACTCCTCTCCTCCCTGGGCTTTACGTTCCTGTCTCCAGAATGAGGGTTGTCAGCCTGTGAGACCAAAAATCCCTTTCCAGGCTAGAGTTTACAATGATGAGAGACACCCATGCTCACGTGAACTACAGTGTTCCCCTCCAGTGATGCAGTCTCACCCTAAGGTAAAATCTCTGAGTTTCACTGGAGGTTTACCACTGGGGAGTACTTGTTGCATGTTCATGATAACACATGGGGGAAATAACTGCCTAAGAAAGGAAGTGGGGAGCTATGAAGATGACCTCTGGGCCAAACCCTGCTCCACGCATTTTTCAAAACCTGAACTTTGGTAACGGGAACAGTTGCCATCACCAATGCCTGCTTAAACACCAATTAGAGTGGCTGATTAGATTCACTTTTAAGTTTTTTTTAAGAAGATGTACAAGTCCCCAAGGATGACTGCTGTTATGGGAACATATGTCCACTGATAAAATATTTCTTTTCATCATTAATTACTTAACAGTCTAGGCAGCAGCAGCAGCACAAAGAGTACAGAGACAATGTACAGACTGAGGCTTTGGCCACCACACTTCTAGAGGACCAGGGATGAGGGGACAAACATGTTCACGGACAGCTGCAATAAAACAGAATGTTAACAGTGGGTGCTGGAGAAGATGGAGACCAAGCAGCTGTGCTGATGTGGACGGGAAACCATGACTCCAGCCAATGCTGCTGTTGTCCCTTTCCTAAAACTCCACAGCAGTGTGTGTGCCACAAACATAGACATTGTAGGTTTCCTTCCATTTTGCATTCTCTGTAGGTTTTCTTGTATCACTCTTAGGTTCTGTTTTATGGATTGAAAAGACATTTCACAAGTGATATGTAAAGATATTCTCACTGTAAAAGATTCAAGTTGTATGCAGGTATACACAGGGACATAATCTTTAAGTTTGATAGATTCTGTCCAATTT